AAAAAACTTTCTCTTTATAAGTCTAATACAATTTGACTATATAATAATTATAGTTTAATATAACTTCTAAATATTGAAAAGTTTAGTGAAAAAAATAAAACATTACCTTGTAAACAGGTCCAAAGCCACCTTGTCCTAGCATGTTGTCACTTGAAAAGTTGTCTGTTGCTTTCACAATAGTCGTTAAATCAAATATTGGTAACTCCATCTCCTCATTTTCACCTCCTCCTTGCTTCCTCCGTCTCTTGATCCATATGTAGCATAATAATCCAATGACAACCATTCCAGTCAACATTACAGAGATGACAATAATCACTACTTGCTTCTTACCATAACCTGTAACATCAGATTAAATTTTACTGGCTCTACGCATTGCATACTACTTAAAATTATGCCTTATAATTAAGGAAAAAACTCGCAAGTTATCCCACAAAATAAAATTCTTTGAGTTAAAGGAAATGATTCACTAGCGTTTGATTCTGCCATTCTAGTCTTGGATCAATCATTGTTATTCAAAGGAAAGGGAGTCTGAGTCCTCTAACTGAAGGAAACTATTTGTTACCTAGTGACATAAAAATAGAAAAGTAAAAATAGTCTTCAACTTAGTTTCATTTATCTTCGATCCTTCATTTTCAATTTTTATGGAAAGAAAGAACAAATATAATTAAATCTTAGCTAAAGTACGTCATCACAAGCTGTAATAAGCATAGTTCTTTGTTCCTTCTACTTCTTACTAGACACATCTTCAATGAAACATTCAATTTTTCTCATGAAGAGATGTGAACGGAAGGTATGTTCATACCTAATTCCAAAGCAGACATCCTAATGAACAGATCCTGCCCCCCAAATTGAAACTGTCTAATATCAACTAGATCACCAAACCAAATGACACAGCCACTACCTCTTCCTCTTATATCCAAACTAGTATATGCCATACAAGAACAGTTCTGTAAGCATTTTCCCCTGCATTCCTTGAGGCTCATAGTTTTGTTTACCCATGAATGGGTAGCATCAGGCAGTTTCAATGTTCCAAATTGGATAAATCCATCACCTGCCTGGCAGTTCAATGGTTTGTTTCTGACACATCCTTGAGACCAGTCGCCAGAGCTCCATCCACCTGGTGATTTAGGCTTGAATCCTTTCAAACATTGGCAGGCTGGAAGTTGAGTACTGTCACAATTCCCATTTGTACCACAAAGCCCATATTTGTCACAGTACTCGTTAGGTACGAATGTCAAAAGCTTCCATGTTCGAGTTTCCTCACTCCATGTGTATCTCTGCCTTGTGTAGTCAGTTTGGTTCAGAACAATCCTTGAGAGCAGAGACTTGTTTTTGAGGGAAAACATGTAGTAGACCTCCTCTTCATTGGAGACAAATTCATAACTGAAAACTAGGTTATCAGGACCTAAATATGGGGCACCACTAAATCCTATGCCATTCCAGGGGCCACTCCGGAAGTATTTCTGTGAGCCTTTCCAGAGCACAGCCTCAGGGTTACCTTGTAGTTCAATTTCCCAAGTAAAGTCACCAGGAGATGGATCATCAGAGTTCTTCCACGCTAAGAGACGCCGGTCAAGGCCAGTTCTCAAGTCCCATCCTAGTTTCATCCCCGGTAGCAGTGTATCAGATGGATAATCAAAGCTTTGCCACAAGTAAGCTCCCGAATTTCCATCCCTGCCATCTATCAAAACAAGATTGCCAGAATTCAGGAGCTGCAGTATAGGATTCTGAGCTGCTTTTGTTGAGTTAGCTGACCAAACAACAGTTATGTTCTGACTCAGAAGCTGAAGATCACCAGTGGTTGTTACCATCAACATGCCAGAAGAGTCATTTATTGGATTCACCCTGTTTGCAACCCAAACAACTGTACCGACTGGGATGTTCTTGTACCAAATTCCCAAGTACCGGTTCCCAGAACTGCCTGGACGGAAGAAACCCAACTCAAAGCTTCCATCATTGGAAACTAAGGTCTTTCCATGGGGGAGAGGCTCAGATGGAGAAATGGAGTCAATTGCTGTGGAGGCTTTCAAGAAGATTAGAAAACAAGTACTCGCAAATGCTATCAAAGTAAAAACATCCATTGTATGCCTAAAATTGAAGCTATCTCCCGGCAAGATCAATACTGAGCCTCGATTTGAGCATGTGTAGATGCCTGCACGGGAAAGGAAAAAAGACTCGACTTGTGTGGATGCCAGCAAACTAGTCAAGAGCAGGTGATGGATTATGTTGAAATTTTGGGGTAAGAAGGGTGCTTAGAGAGAGGACTTGCAAGAGAAGGAGAGACACCCGGAATTCCCTCTTTTGGTGAGATCAGAATAAGGATGGCAACGGTCCCCACGGGGGCGGGGACCCTTTCCCCATCCCCATCTCCGCCGGGTACGATGATTTCCACGAAGATCTTTTATGGAGGTTTAAAAATAACCTCCGTCCTTATACCCACAGGAAATAATAGGTTTATGCAGGTATTCGAAGTCTTTATCAAATAAAACAATCATCTCCTCCATTATTTGTTAATTAAAACTAAACTTAACATAAGTCTACTTAGACTTCATTAGTTTCCATATTTATTAAAGGTCAAAGGGGCTATTTGCACCCTTCACTTAATTATTTTTCACGGTCAACATCTTCTAAAATTTTTTCTCTATATTCACACCCTTAACTATTCAAAACCCGTAAAAAACCCAATATTTTAACGTGCCGTCAGGGTACTGTTACAAAATGCATTACGTGACACCCAAAAATTAACGTGACACTATGTACCATTAATAATCCAA